TATTTGGCATTAATCAGAGAATTAGAGAATCAGAGAATCATCACATGGCTTGGGTTGGAATGGACCTTAAAGACCATCTAGTTCCAACCCTTGCCATGTACAGGGCTGCCACCCACTAGATCAGGCTGCCCAGAGTCTCATCCAACCTACCCTTGAATGTCTCCAGGTATGGGGCCTCCACAGCTCCTCTGAGCAGCCTGAGCCAGTGCCTTGCTACCCTCTGAGTGAAAAATCTCTTGGGGCCTCACAAGAACAAACGGGGGGGAAATACCTTCCCTTAACCTGCTGACCACTCCCCTTTTGATGCTGCCCAGGATACAGTTGGCCTTCTGGGCTGCAAACACACAATATTGTTGGCTTGTGTCAAGATTTTTATTCATTTTTCATTTACTCAAACCCCAAAATCCTTCTCAAAAGAGCTACTCTTAATGACTTCTTCTACCAGTCTGTACACGTATCTGGGATTGCCGCAATCTTGCACTTGGCCTTGTTGAATGTCATTAGATTCACAAAAGCCGTTTTTCAAGCCTGTCTAGATCCCTTCAGATGGCATACTTCCTTATGTTGTGTCAACTGCATGACTCAGCTTAGTGCCATCAGCAAACTTGCTGAGGGTGCACTCAATCCCATGGGCTAGGTCTTTGATAAATATGTTAATAAGCACTGATCCCAGGACTTATCTTTGGATAATACCACCCGTGACCAGCCTTCACATGGACACAGAGCCATTGACTAAAACCCTCTGGCTGGATACATCCAGCCAATTCTTTATCAACCCAGTAGTCCAGCCTTCAAATACGTATCTCTCCGATTCTAGAGATGAGAATGTAGTGTGTAAATGTATACACTCTTAGCTACCATAAGCTTTATAAAAACTTCATAATTTGTTGGAACACAAACAGAGGAGGGCAATTCTTTTCAATAAATAATTTTTTTTCTTCTCTGGGCCCCGTCATTTTTGTTCTTGTTACTCAGTTCCTGTCCTGCAATTCAGTGCATACTGAAAAAGCTATTGTGCCACTGATGGAAAAGGCAAGTGGGAAATTTAAAGAACTCATGGATAAAGTCAGGGATCAGAGCCAAATTTCTGATGCACAATACATTTAAAGATAAGAATTTTAAAATTATATAATATATAATAAGAAAGGAGTATCATGATTTGTTATCCAGTAATATCTAAAATGATGTTTTCTTCCATTTTTTATTTTAAACTCTATAGTTTTCAAGCACTTCATATAAGATCATCAACAGAGCTAAGAACAAATTAACTTGATACATATTCTGCCAATATTTCAGTACAAAAAGTAACAGCTAGTTATTGATTTCCAGTGTGGTCATCTTCCGTAACAGAGTTTGAGTGAACCATTAAACAACAAAAACTGCTGATTTCCACCTCTATTTTTCAAGTTTTACACTTGTTCATGTTTTGCCATAACTGTGTATATTTATGTACTTAGTTACCTTGTTATTTTAGGAATCAAAACGAAAGAATAGTTAGGATAGGAGTTCCAGTTAATAAAAGCGTATAGGTTACATCTGTACCTTTGAAAGACAGAAAGGATTCTTTTCTCATCCATATACTTACTTATCTATATACTTCCTAGGTTATCCAAAATGCTTTCGTATTGAGTACTTGCTATTATGTTTTGCTATGACAACATTTTCAGTGACATCATCTCCTATTGTGCTTAAAGTGGCATTAAATACATATTAGTGGGAATTTCAGTGCTACCCAGTATTTATGCTGCAGCGCACTGTATTAAGCTTTGAGCAGTAAAGCTTTGACTTTTACAGCTGACAAGGAAGGCTATGTAGCTAATTATTTCTGGTAATCACATACAGAAGTCTAAATTTATACACTGTATACTATCAAAAAAAATGGGGGATCTCAGGCTACTCCACCTATCTGCCCTGGAGCAATGCATTGCTTTTTAATAAATTCAAGAACAGCATTTCTATGAGACCTGCATGAAACCAAATTAGCACAGAAGTGGAAAGCAGATATTAGTCAGGTAGGAACACATAAATCTGTATTGCCACTGACATATGTTTTATGTTCCAAAAGCCTGTGGTTTCCAGGCTTCCTCACTCAGACACAGCATCCATTCTGAGGCAACCAAACTTTTGAATGATGTAACACAATAAATCACATAAGAGTTAGCATAGGCAGGCAGGATGTGCCAACGCTACTTTTGGGTAGGATTTGGCCTTGTTGGCATAAGTTGTGTTTCACCAGCAGGCTTGAGAGCTAGTTCACCTCTTGAACAAGTCACTCTCCTTGGCCTCAGTTTTCTCTATTTGATGCTTCTGAGAAGCTAGGTCATTGCATGGAAATCTTAATGCATCACTGTGCTTGAAGCAATTTTATAGGAGATACTGCATCAGTCTTCAACAATTCAAACTCTTAAGTGATTAACAAATTGGTTGTTTTACATGCAAGTAATTAATTCTAAGCACTCATGGTTATTTTGAAGTTGTGAGCAACTGCACAAACTGCTGTTTCTATCAGTGTAAATGACTACTTGAAGTGCAAAGCTACAAATATTTGGATCTCTCAGTAGTAAGATTTAAGTGCTCAAAACTAAGAAAACATGCATATTAAATCAAGTATGCATGCAAACACATATGGCTTGCACCACTTGAAAAAAAAATACATACAGAAAATACAAGTAGTCTACATAAAACAGTAAAAAAATATATCATAGAATCATCAAATCATGGAATGGCTTAGGCTGGAAGTGACCTTAAAGATCACCTAGTACCAATCGCTCTGCTGTGTACAGGGCTGCCACCCACTAGATCAGGCTGCCCAGGAGCCCATTCGACCTATCCTTGAATGCCTCCAAGTATAGGGCCTCCACAGCTCCTCTGGGCAGCCTGAGCCAGCATCTCACTACACACTGAGTGAAAAATTTCTTCATAACATCTAAGCTAAATATCCCCTTGTTTAGTTTAAAACCACTCCTTATCCTATCACTATCTACTCGTGTAAAAAGTTGGTCCTTCTTCTGTTGATAAGTTCCCTTAGGTACTGGAAAGCCACAATGAGATCTCCTCAGAGCCTTCTCTTCTGCAGGCTGAACAAGTCCAGCTCCCTTAGCCTGTCCTCACAAGAGAGGTGCTTTAGTCCTCTGATCATCTTTGTGGCCCTCCTCTGGATCCGGTCTAACAGTTCTACATCTTTTTGTGCTTGGCACCCCCAGTTGGGACACAATACTCCAGGTGGGACCTCACAATTATGATGTTGCTAATCCAATTTTTATTCCTAATGTTAGCTTCATAAAAATCAAGTCTCATATAACTATAATCAACTAGAGATCCTCAGAATTATTGAGAATTGAGAACCTAATCATACAAAGTTCTTCTTAGAAGTAGCCACATATCGTAAAGCGGCTATTAATGAAGTTACTGCCAAGACTGAAATTGATTTTCAAAATGTTTCAAAATTTACAGCATAATACTGCAACCCCAAGATGAAAGAAGACA